CTTCTTCATCTAAGCGAAAAATTTGGTGACAAAGTCGTAAAGGTATAAAACTGAACCCCATTTCTGTTTGAGGTTGGGGGTGGTTTACCTTTTCGCGTGCCCTTGTTTTGCATTACATTATTTTTATTTGTATAAAAAAGAAGAATGCTGTTCATACGATGTTCTCTCGTTATCATTATTTTCTGAATCGGTTTTTATTATGTTATGTTAAACCATCACACTCTCATACCCGTCTTTGTGGTAACTTCTTTGGGGTCGATTTTTCGTCTGTGATCAGAATTCTCTAAGGCCTCAGAAAGGTGCATCAAGAAGAAAAAAAGGTGTTTAGAGTCAAAAAAAAGGTCAAGGTTTAGCTACCGTTGAAATTAACATATACACATAAGTATATATATACTTAACCCTGACATAGACCCTTTGCATACAAAAAAAACATCCTATAGTAACCTAAAACGCATTCAAGCTAGGAGTAGCCAAATAAAAATATATAAAAGTGGAAGGGTATCAAAAGAACCAACCTTATTATATTTTCATACACACGCACCTGTTCTCGTTCTCTGTGTGTCTGTTCGCGTGCTTCACAGGGCCACATCAAGAAAAGACTTAGAGAGAATCCCCTCCTATTCAGTGGCGTCGATTGCATGTTTAAAGAAAAGGGAATCATAAAGACTACATTCATTAGCGTTATTCGCTCTTTAGACGGAGTCTTTCTTACTTTAAACCAAGTTTACTCATCCTCTGTTGTGTTAACAAGATTGGAGACCTTCACTGCCGCGCCACCATTGCCCACCCTCCCTCTAGAGGGGGTGGTAAAGGCCTTGTGAGGAGTCAAATAAAAGCAATAAAGGCAGTAGCGTCCAATTAGATTGAACGTGTCTGTATAGTAATAGTAAGGTATCCTTATGTACGTAGGAAGGCCAAGCAAACGTGATACAACCAAACCAAAAAATGACTAACTCGGTCCTGGATGTGTTGGAAATTGTTAACCTGGAGAAAATCATGCGAATACATATTGAGTCCTTGGAGATCAAGAATTGGCAATCGCTTCAAAATGAAGGAAAACAACTGCGTAGCGAAACTCGCCTCTTGAATACTTTTTCAAGTACGGAGACACAAACTCAAGACCTGAACTACACGCCAAACGAGAGTTGCCACACTGTGGAAAAGCCTCTTGAGAAATCTGTTGTGGAAAAGTCAAAAAACGTATCATCACTGACGGCCTCTGATTTAATAACCTTTGTAAATGACGTCCCAGGGAGTCAGCTTCATGATATATCCACGATAATCGCACAACAACAACAATTTTTAAGGGACGAAAACAAAGATCGTGAACGTATCTATTTAGAAGTAATGCTTTTCTTCGAAAATATGGAGACATCGATTAAGGTAAGCCATAAAACCGCTTTATGTAGCCAACTTGAACGCCTAGATAATGAGAAGATAACGCGCTTCAAACTGCAGACCGTCGAGGAATGCATTGATATTGAGAACAAGCAGCGCAACTTAATATGCTCCCACGAGAATCTCTCACGTCGACGGATCGAGAAAAAGTGGTGTGAACTCATTTCTGAATTAAATGACTCACCTGAACCGTCCAGATATCGACCCTTTAGAATCATGGAAAGTTCTATCAAGGAGGTAAGTGGCAATTTCACTGATAATGGCCTCCTTGAGACTACGGGAGAGAGTAGTTCCTTCGCGTTGGGAAAGACAGCAGGTCTACAGCAAAACCTTCAGAGCGACGCTTTCTACAACGTCCAATTGAAAAATGCGAATAAAAAAGAAGAGTATTACATGAACTACAACAATTTTATAGACCAAGAGTACCACGAATTTCTTCACATGCCTGGGAGAAGTAAAACTGAGTACGATACCCCGTATACGTATAAAATATATAGTCAGGGTACAGCTCAGGAAGAATTCAGGCCGATTTCATTTCCGGCCCTAGACGCCTCCGATCAGATAATGCAGTCGACGATAAGTAATGAAAAGGAAAAAGCGAGCATTATTAGCTTCTATCCACAGCTCAGTGTTAGTCAATCAAAAGAAAGGCAGTATCTCCTCGAGGAAACTTTTGAACGGAATAAAATTTACGTTCTAGAAGTACTAACATTAGTAGACAAATTAAATAAGTATCAACAAGTACGATTGTATCTACAAGCCCGGGTAAACGAAATAGAAATACAAGAAAATGAAGAACGCCAAGAAGTTCAGTACAACGAAATCAGAGAACTTCTGAAAATTACCAAAACAAATGCAGACATTATAAAGAAACTACGACAAATTATGGAAAAGGTCATAAAGGCAGAAGAAAATAGAAGGACAAACATATGTGTCGAAGAGAGTGAAATATTTAGAATCCTGCAAGAAAATCTAAACAATAAAGACATAGTATGGATCAAAGAAAATCTAAGAAAAGTAAAAGAAACTGAAGAAATGAAA